GGCCTGCCATCCTGTCACCTTGTCACTCTGTCACCCTACCGCCACCTGTCACCTTGTTCATTTTGTACCATCTTGTTACTCTGTCACTCTGTCACCCTGCCAACCTGTCACTTCTCACTTCTGTACCATCTGTTAACCTTGTCAACTCTTGTCACCCCTGCCAATCCTGTCACCTTGTCACTCTGTCACCTGACCATCCTGTCACCTTGTCATTTGGTACCATCTTGTTACTCTGCTCTGTCAACCTCACCTTGTCAACCTGTCATCCTGTTACCTGTCACTCTGTCACCCTGCCATCCTGTCACCCTTGGTCACCATCTGTCACCCTGTACGCAAAACCTGTCGTCCAACTCTGTTCCATCTCTGTCACTCTGTGTCACCTGCCCCTGCCATCCTGTCATCCTGTCACCTTCTCACGGTCTTGTCACCCTACCAACCTGTCACCTTGTCATTGTACCATCTTGTGTACTCTGGTCACTCTGTCACCCTGTCCAAGCCTGTCACCTTTGTCACTCTGTCACCCTGCCCATTCCTGTTACCTTGTCACTCTGTTCACTCTCTGCCATCATGTCACCCATTGTACCATCTTGTTACTCTGTCACCTCTACCCCTGCCACCTGTACACCTTGTCCACTCTGTCACCCTGCAAAACCTGTCACCTTGTCCACTCTGTCACCCTGCCTCCTGTTACCTGTCACTCTGTCACCCTGTCACTCTGTCACCTGTCACATCTTGTCACTCTGTCACCATCTCTGTTGCCACTCTTGTCACTCTGTCACCCTGCCATCCTGTCACCCTTGTCCATTGTACCATCATTTGTTACATCTTCACTCTGTTCCACTCTTGTTCACCCTGCCAACCTGTCAACTTGTCGACCTTGTCACCCCTGCCATCCTGTTACGCTTGTCACTCTGTCACCCTGCCATCCTGCGTCATCCTGTCACCCTACCAAACGGTGGGTCACGGCTTGTCATTGTACCATCTTGTTACTCTGTCACTCTGTCACCCTGCCTATCACCGTTGTTCACTCTGGTCACCCTGCCATCCTGTTAACTATGTCACTCTGTCACCCTGCCATCCTGTCACCTTGTCACTCATGTACCTGTCATCTTGTTACATCTGTTACTCTGTCACTCTGTTCCACGCCTGCCAACCTGTCACCTTGTCACTCTGTCCACCCTGCTCATCTGTTCACCCTTGTTCACTCTGTCACCCTGCCATCCTGTCAACCTTAGTCATTGTACCCATCTTGTTACTCTGTCACTCTGTCACCCTGCCAACCTGTTCACCTTGTACTCTGTCGACCCTGCGAGCCTGTCACTCTGTCACCCTGCCAGTCCTGTTACCCTTGTCACTCTGGGTCACCCTGCCATCCTGTCACCTGTGTCACTTCTGTCACTACAACCTGTCACCTTGTCATTGTACATCTTTTGTTACTCTGTGCACTCTGTCACCCTGCCAACCTGATACACATATAGATACACATACATATAGATAACTCTGCCATCTGTTTACCTTGTCACTCTGTCACCCTCCATCCTGTCACCTGTGTCACTTCTGTCCACCCTACCAACCTGTCACCTTGTCATTGTACCATGCTGATTACTCGTTGTCACTCTGTCACCCGTGCCAACCTGTCAAAACCTTGTCACTCCTCGTCCACCCCCATGCCATCCTGTTACCTTCGCGCACTCTGTCACCCTGCCATCCTGTCACCGTTGTCACTTCTGTCACCCTACCAACCTGTCACTTGTCATTGTACCATCTTGGTTACGTCTTGTCACTTGCTGTGTAGATTGGGCACCCTGCCATACTCTGTCACCTTGTCACTCTGTCACAAACCCTGGCCGATCCTGTTACCTTGTCACCTCTAGTCACCCCTGCCATCCTGTCACCTTGTTCATTGTACCATCTTGTTAACTCTGTCACTCTGTTCCCCCCATGCCAAAGCTGTCACCCTTGTCACTTCTGTCACCCTGGCCTCCTGTTACCTTGTCACTCTGTCACCCTGCATTCCTGTCACCTTGTCACTCTGTCACCCCTACCAAACCTGTCACCTTGTTCATTGTACCATCTGTTATTCTGGTCACTCTGTCACGCCTGCCAACCTGTCACTTGGATTCACTCTGTCACCCTGCCATCTGTTACTTGTCACGCTGTCCACCCTGCCATTTTCCTGTCACCTTGTCATTATGTCCTCTTCGTTACTCTGTCAACTCTGATCACCCTTTGCCGAACCTGTCACCTGCTCACTCTGTCACCCTGCCATCCTGTTACCTTGCTACACTCTGTCACCCTGCCATCCTGTCATCCTTTGTCATTGTTTACCATCTTGTTACTCTGGTCACTCTGTCACCCTGCAACCTGTTCCACCTTGTCATTGTACCATCTTGTTACTCTGTCACTCTGGTCACCCTTGCCATCCTGTCACCTATGTCATTGTGACCCATCTTGTTACTCTGTCACTCTGTCACCCTGCCATCCTGTTCACCGTTGTATG